TAAGGAGGAGACCAGGTGACATGGGTGCAGGGCAGGTCTTAGGATAGAGGACACTATTACCCATACCCACTTGTCCTCTGGTGCCCCCTGCAAAGCTTGGGAAATTGTGTCACACTTTTCTCTCAGCCTCACTTCTGCCATGCACCTCCCCACCCTCCATATTCTTCTCTCCCTGTTTCATGGAAAAAGTTATATGGAGGCAGTGCATTCATTGGTCAGGTGGACATGAAGGACCCATTTGCAGTTGATCTCTCATTCTTAGTATTGGCAGAAAATGCTTCTGAGGGTATAAATGTGTGTGTGTGTGGGGGGGGGAGAGGGGGCTGGGAGCCCTGTAGAAGCTGCCATTTCTCTCTTTCCCCACTCCCCTTCCCACTCTAGGAGTGGGAAAACTGTTTATGAATCGGTTGCTCCCGGTCTCTTCCTCTGTCCCTTCTGGGCCTCCTGCTCCTGTTTATTTTTCTTCTTTGCCCTTGACTTCTTTATTCTCATTTATCTTTTCCTCATCTTTTCCCTCAGAACCAGTTTCAGTGTTTATTACTATCAGGAGGGAGCATCTAACTATGTGTGTACGTATATACATACGTACATATACATGAACAGCCTCATGTAGGGGACAGGAAATCTGTGACTTGGGGATATTCTTTGTTCTCTCTTATTGTATATTGTCCTCATAATGTTGTGAGTCTCCACTTTCATTTTTTATTCCCTTTTCCCCACAGCCAAGGCCACCGGGGTAAGAAAGGTATCTTGGAACCCATCTCCCTTTCCAGACTTCTCACTCTTGATGTGGAAGCCTCGTCCCCTGTTCATCCTCATCCAGCCTGGCCCCCCACCCTCCTCACACCGAGGCATGGCCAGGCACCTGTCCAGAACCTAGTGCCATGCTGTGAACTCATTCCCTGTCTTTCAGTGTGATTGGTGTCCCAGGGAGCCAGGTTGCTGAGGGAAGCTCATGTGGCACTCAGCCGATCCATTTTGTTGACAAAAAAAGAGGGGAGAAGCTGGCAGAAAGCAAATGCTTTTGCTGCTGGGTGAGTGTAGCAGCTATTTATAGCACCCAAGCCTTTGCTTTTCCATTTGGCTGTGCATTTTTTAGCATAGTGCTGGTCCAGGAGGGCTGTTTTCTTTCATAGCTGCAGATGTCCTTAGCAAAAGTTTCCGTCTGCCCCTGAAAAGGGGTGAAAGGGTAGGCTGGGCAAGTGGGTAATAACTTCTAGAGTGGATGCAGGCAGGGCTTTTGTCCAATTATGTCACAGGACCAATTTATTGAGGTGGAATATGGAAAAGTGTTGTAGGAACAGGAAAGAGAAAGGGTAAACATCATATTCTTAAGAAATGTTTTCCACCTGGACTGGTTTGGCTCAATGGATAGAGCGTCAGCATGGGGACTGAAGGGTCCTGGGTTCGATTCCGGTCAAGGGCATGTACCTTGGTTGCGGGCATATCCTCAGTAGGGGGTGTGCAAGAGGCAGCTGATCGATGACTCTCTCTCATCGATGTTCCTAGCTCTCTATCTCTCTCCCTTTCTCTCTGTATAAAAAATCAATAAAAATATATTAAAAAAAGAAAGAAAGAAAGAAATGTTTTCCCATAATTAAGCCTCTGTTGAGTAAATTGCCTAATGAGGTGTTATTGGGTCTGAGGGATCAACACAAAAACCTTTTATTTTATTTATTTTTAAAAGATTTGTTGTTTTTTACTTAAGGATAGGATATTTAAAAAAAATATCTTTTTATTGATTTCAGGGAGGAAGGAAGAAGGATAGAGAAATGTCAGTGATGAGAGAGAATCATTGATCAGCTACCTCCTGCACACCCCCTGCTGGGGATCAAGCCCACAACCCAGGCATATGCCCTTGTCTCCTTGTCTGGGATCAAACCGGTGACCGTGCAGTCCACAGGCTAACGCTCTGTCCACGGAGCCAAGCTGGACTGGCTAGGGCAACACACCTTTTAGAAGGGACTGGGCTAATACTGACCTGCTGAATTTTTCTAAGGCTTTTTTTTTTTTTGTGTCTTTTATTTTGTTTTTCGTTCTGCCTTACTTAGATTATTTGTCAGTTTGAATTAGTTCTCTTGACTTCCACTCTAGTTTACTCACCAAATTTTTCCACCATTTCAAACAGAAACTCTGTACCCTATAACTCCCCTGGTAACCTGTTCTATTTCTCTGAATTTGCCTATTCTAGATATTTCATTTAAGTAGAATCATATAGCATCTGTCATTTTATGTCTAGGTTATTTCACTTGGCATATTGTTTTCAAGGTTCATTCATGTTGAAATATGGGTTAGAATTTCATTCTGTTTATGGCTGAATAATATTCCATTGTATGTATATATTGCATTAAAAATATACATTCAGCCCTGACTGGTGTTTTTAAGTAGTTAGAGCATTGTTTCCTGTGCCAGAGGATTGTGGGTTTGATTGCCAGTCAAGAGCACATGCCTAAGGTTGCAGGTTCAATCTCCGGCCCTGATAGGGGTGCATGTGGGAGGCAGTCAACCGATATTTCTCTCTCTCTTTCTCCCCCATCTCTTTCCTTCTCCCTCACTTCCTCCTTTCCACTCTCTCTAAAATCAGTGGAAAAATGTCCTTGGGAGAGGGATAACAACACCACAAAAATACATTTATCTGTTGATGAATACTTGGGTTATTTCCACCTTTTTTAAATTTGTTTATTTTGTGGACTGGAGCTGTGTGAGGAGAGTTCAGGATTCAGGGAACTCTGGGGTTGAAACTCAGAGGACAGCCACCCTGGTTTCCTATGCTGAGTCATTCCTTCACTCTGCGGAAGATAACTCTTACATATTTCCACCTTTTAGCTATTGTGAGTAATGCTGTTAACATTCACATGGAAGTATCTGTTTGAATCACTGTTTTCATATCTTTTGGGTAGAATATGGGTGGAATTGCTGGGTCATATGGTAATTCTATGCTTAGATTTTTGGGAAACTGCCAAATTGTGTCCCATAGCAGCTGTACCATTTTGTATTCCCACCAGCAATGTATGAGAGTTTCACTTTCTCTACATCCTAGTTAACATAGATTGCTTTCTTTTTTTTTATTTTATTATTGTTGTTTAATTGTAGTGGATTTAAAGTGCTATCCAATTGTGGCTTTGGTTTGTATTTCCTCAGTGATTAATGATGTTGATAATCTTTTCATATCCCTGTTGGCATTTGTGTATCTTTTTTGGAGAAGATCCTTTGCCCATTTTAATTTGAGTTGCTTGTCTTTTCTTTCTTTTTTTTTTTTGAGCTGTTTATATATTCTGGGTATTAAGCTTTGATTAGATATGTGATTTGCAAATATTTTCTCCCATTTTGTGGATTGTATTTTCATTCTCTTGATATTGTCCTTTGACATACGAAAGTATTTTAATTTTGATGGAGTTTAATTTATTTTTTTTCTTTCATCACCTACGTTTTTGGTATAATATTTAAGAAACTATTGCCAAATCTAAGGTTATTAAAATTTTCTCTATGTTTTCTTTTTAAATTTAGGTCTTTGACCATTTTGAGTTACTTTTTAAAGATTTTTTAAATTGATTTTTAGAGAAAGAGAGAGAGAGAGACATACATTGATGTGAGAGCAGAACATTGATTAGCTGTCTCCTGTACATCTCCAACTAGGGATTGAGCCTGGTATCGAGCCTGCAACCCAGGCATGTGCCTGACCAGGAATTGAACCAGTCCCTTTTGGTACATGGGATGATTCCCAACCAACTGGGCCACAGGGCCATTAACACATTTTGAGTTACATTTTGTATGTGGTATAAAGGAATGGTCCACTTCTTTTCTTTTCTTTTTTTTTTTTTTTTAGATTTTTAAACTTGACTTTTAGAGAGGGAAGAAGGGAGAGGGAGGGAGGTAGAGAAACAAGTATGTGAGAGCCATATCAATTGGCTACCTCCTGTATGCTCCATACCAGGGATCAAGCCTATAACCTGGCATGTGCCCTGATTGAGAATCAAACCAGCAACCTTTCAGTGCATGGAACAATGCCCATCCACCTGAGCCACACAGACCAGGCTGTCCACGTTATTCTTTTGCCTGTGGATATCCAATTGTCCCAGGATAGTTTGTTGAAGAGTCTGTTCTTTCTGTATTGAATGTTCTTGGCAACCTTGGTGAAAATAATTGACCATATATGTGTTTTTTTTTGCCTCTGAATTGGATTCCATTGGTTCATATATCTGTCCTCATGTAGTACCATACTGTTTTCATTACTATAGCTTTGTAGTAAGTTTTGAAATCAGGAGGTGTGAGTCCTTCAACTTTGTTTTTTTCAAGATTTTGTTGGTTGTTGTGAAATCCCACATATATTTTATAATAGTTTTCTTCACTCTGTAAAAAAAAAAAAATCATTGGAATTTTGCATTGAATCTGCATATTGCTTTGGTAGTATTGTAACCTTAACTCTCCAATCCATGAACATGGAATATCTTTTCTTTTTGTGTCATTTTAACAGCTACAAGGGCCTATACTTTTGTTTGACTGTTTGAAAAGTGATGTGAAAGGCTTTGTAGCTTGAGAATATTGAACTATGTTGGTTTAGGGATGCTGATGACATCTGTCTTCAGGTATAACTGCAGGTATGATTTATAGTCAATTGTTGTAAAGGCTTATGCAGATTTGGGCCCATGTCTGTCCACATACCAATCAAAGGTTAGTTTCCTTTTTTCCTTACCATAGCCAGTACCACCCAGTTCAACCTGATAAGAAGTTGATAATTATAGCTCATGTAAGAGTTCTGGTGGCTCAGTTCCAACAAAGACATGTCTCCCCTTGGGTGGCTGGACTCCTTATTGGAGATGGAGGCTTCATTCACATGATCTATTCCTGTGGGAGAAGACCTATAAAACCTATATGTGGGAAATATCTCACATTCATTGAACAAGTGACATCCTGGGAATCACAGTGCTGGGGGATCAGGCATCAGGGAAGTGGAACCAGTTTCCTACTGACCTTCTGTTTTCTGTGTTTATATTCATCAGGTCTCCTTAGGCTTCTTCAGGGCCTGCCCCTATTTAGGATGGCTCCTCTGGGCATGCTGCTTGGACTACTGATAACCACCTGCTTCACCTTCTGTTTCAGTCATCAGAACCAAGTAAGCACCTTATCATAAGAGGGATCCCTTTTGGGTCCAAAAGAGCCGCTATGCCACCAGAGCTGCTGTGGAAGTGGGTTGAACTTTTATGTTTCTTATATGAATGTGGCCAGTGATGAGTCATGGAATCTGTGTAATCTTTCCCTCTACCTCTGTTTAAAGTTCATGATGTAGTTTCCCTTTGGGAAATGTATGGTGGTGATGATAATAATAACCTATAATAATAAAAGCATAATATGCTAATTAGACCAGATGTCCTTCTGGAAGACCTTTTGGATGAAGCTGTGGCGGTGGGAGCCAAGGCAGAGGTGGCCGAGGCAGAGGCAGCTGCAGTGGTGGTGTGGGCTGAGGCTGCCACTTTGGCGGTGGAGGCCAAGCCCCTTGCATGAGTTTCATGCAGTGGGTCTCTAGTTTTAATAAGAAGAAGCTTATTATGTACTAAGCATTGTCATTCATTAAGTGCTTTATGTCTATTCTTATTTACCCTTCCATCCCCCAATAATACTATGAAATAGACAACTACAATTATTATCCTAATTTTGAGAAGGAGGAGATTAAGATTCAGAGATTTTAAATAATTTGGTCAAAATCTACAACCAGTTTGTAGCAGAGTTGGGAAGGTCAAGATTATCTCCAAAGCTGGCTGATTGTATGGTGAGTACCATGTAAGAATGGTTCTTCCTCTACTTCTCTCTTCCTGTGCTTTCTCAAGTCTGTCTGTATCTCTGTATCCTCTTTCCCAGCCTCTCTCTATTAATATAGACCCCATTGCTTAGGGTTCCTGTTATTGCCACAGGCAGGAGCAAAATGTCCAAGAAAGTCCTGAGCTTGAGCAGGCTTCTGGCTCTATTTCCCTTGGCCTGCCTCAATAACAGCATGCCCATGACTATTTTCCAGTGCCCTCTCTTTTCTCTCCCTTGGGAAGTCTTGTCAGTTTTGACAGCTTCACCCACTGCTGGCCACCTTTCCTAACCCCAGGGGCTCCTACTAAATGGTGGATAAAGTGCTGGAAGCTTTGGAGCAGGAGGGCTTGAAGTGCAAATGACAAATGAGATGAATTTAATAATAATCCAGCTCTGCTGAAGTTCACCTCTGACTTGTGGCAAGCTTCCACCTTCTCTCTGAAGTAATTTGTTTTCTCTCTGCATTTCTCCCCACTTAGAGGAGCAAGAGACAACATACAGTTAGGAGTCTTGAATCCTTTTGAACTTTTAATGTCCTCTGACTAATCTTGTTGATACTGGGGTTTTGGTCTCCAAGAAAAATGAGAATGAGATCCCATTGGCCCACGATGATGGGACTGGCCACAGCCTGAGGGTTGGAGACCTGACCCAGAAAGCACCCAAGTGTCTCAGAAGATCAGGGCTATTCCCCCTACCCCAAACCTGCATCTCACAAGGATCCAGGTGCTCCCATTGTGAGCTTTAGCAGATGTACAATTAACAAAAGCATGCTAATGAATTTACTTAAGGACTGTGTGTCAGTAAGTCTCTTTTGGATAAGAGTCCAACCAAATAGATAAGCTTTCAGAGCCATAATTATTCTGGCCCATATATATTAGTTCTACTGAGACTAGTTTCAGAAAAATGTTAATACTGGCTTTCATCACCAGAAACTGCTTGTATCCTTATGTCTCTTCCTAAGCTATATCAATTTGTCATCATCTTTCATCATGTACTAAGCACAAGTGGGAGTTGAAGCATCTTTTCTCTCATACCATAAAAATTGCTTCCCTGATGGGGCATTTAAAATCCAAATTATATAGCTAGCCACCTTCACTTCAGTGAAAATGGTTAGTGGGGGAAGTGGGAATGGTCATGATCCACTCTTTCAGAGTTCAGACAAGTGCTTCTGGAGACCTGGAATTGTCCTTCCTGAGGGCATTTGTGAAGGTTAATGGCCACCCAGGAAAAGTTGGTTGTGTGTATCAGGACATGACCTGGAGTCAGCCTCCCTTGCTGGCTCTTGCTGTGACACTAAGGTGCCACATCTTAAGTCTGTGTGGATGCTGAAATGATTTGATTGCATGTATCTGAATAAGAGGCACCTTCAAAAAGGTGGTGAGTAATGAGGGAGGTAGAGGAACTCAGGGGAAGGATCACAGACCTTGGTAACATCCTTTTGGCACTGACCATTTCTGAGCTTTATTTCCTTATCTAATAAAACAGAGTTGGTATGTTCCTCTTAAGATTTAAGTGTAGATCAAATGTGATTATATATAAAGTACCTAACATTTGGATTTTGCACAGTCAGGTCAGTGGATGGTCAGTAAATGTCAACTATTATTTTTAGTAAGGGGGTTTAATTTAGTGCTCTGCCAGACACACTCCTGTCCCAAAATCTTCCCTGGCAGTCTGTTTCTAACACAGCATCTATCAACCTACCATTAGAAATTCGTTCATTCTTTTGGATCTTGAAGTCTTTGATATTTAAGAATCTCTTATTCAGATACAAGCGCAAGGAAGTGTGACATAGTAAGCTGTTGTCAGCTAACACCTTAGCTGGGATTTCTTTCAGTCAGTTAAGAAGAAATTGGTATTTGGAGTGATGGTGGCAGGAAGAAGAGAGGGCTGAGGATTCGGCATGGAAGGGAGCCCTAAGAAGCCAGCTGAGAGGGCACCAGCACATGCGATTTACTTCAGAGCTGACCAAGGGCTGTCTGGCTGTTCTCACCTTTTGGTCTTTCTCTTCTGTTCAAGACACTGCCCAGGCAGAGAGAAGCTAATCTTGCTTGTTCTTTCTTTGCAAGTGTGGTTTCTCACTTGGTCCATGAAAACCCTCCAATGGCAAGGAGGCTGTGCTGTGAGACATGCTAAGTTAATCTTATTGCCCTCACTTCATTTCCTCAGTATCCAGGGCATAACCATTGGGACATATGACATAGAAGTGAGTCAGAAATTATGCCTGGGCTTTGGAGCCCGGCAGTCCTGACCTTAAATCTCTGCTCTGTTTTACCCAGCCATGTGATTTTGCACAGGTCCCATGTCCATACTCATCTGTAAAATGGGTATAAATATATGTGCATCACAGATGAAACTTGGACGAGTTGTGAGGCACAGAGGCACTTCAGTTCAATGCTGGGCATATGGTAAGGGCTTAATAAATGGTAGCTTCTATTATCATTACAAGCTCATCCCTATGATTTTGCTTTTCCTCAAAACTTTTTATGCAATTTCTTTCTTGAACTGACTAACTTATTGTATATTCATATAACTGAACCTCTGACAGTGCTTGCCAGATGTGATTTGGGCAAATAGCCCAAAGTTACTCTGAGCCAGATTTGGTGATCAGACAGGGGAGCATCAGTTTTATATTACCCCCACTAAAACCAGGAATGCTGTAAAAATAATGATAGACTGTGTGTGTGTGTGTGTGTGTGTGTGTGTGTGTGCGTGCGTACATGTGTAGCTATGGCTTAACATCTGGTTCAGAAGTGATAGCAAGAGGAAATAGAAAAAACATTTTGAGCTGTGACAGGATTGTTGCACAAGTATTTGGCCACAGACTTGAAGCATCTGGCTCAGTGTTTCATGATTCTCCTAACCTTCCTTCTTGAACCTACTCTGATAATCTTATTTTAAAAATCTAGAAAAAAAGGCTCTGGATACTTAATGGACAAGGTGGTCTTTTTTTTTTTTTTTTTTGAATGTGTGGCTAGTACCTGGCTTCCAGCAGACTCTGCTAATTTGGGCTTGTCTTAGTCCAAGGCATCCAAAAGACATACCTGCCTGTGAGAGGGGGTGGGAGGAGTTCCTTCATTTGTTCCATGATTACAAACTAGGCATGGAGTGGTGAAAGAGGCTGACAGAGTCTGTCCTCAGAAACTCAGCTGTTGGAAGCTTGATGTCCATGCCCTCAGAATGCAGGGTGCCACATGCTAGTTTTTCTGCTCTTTAATATGACAAGCACATTTCTTTCCTGTTCCTAATTTTCTTTTGAGCTCAGATTTGTGCAAATTTCAGGTTGAAGGGGTAGATGGGGTTTGTTGGGCCAGGCTGCCTAGGTGACCACAACCCAAACCTGACCTGCCTAAATGATGCCATATGGTGTAGTCTCTGTTGGATATCATAGCACAGACTCATCTAACCTGGAAACTGTGACTGCCTTTATAAGTAATAATAACAGCTACTGTGTACGCAGGGCTAATGGTTTAAAAAGTAGTACTTCATTTGATGTATGAGCTAGATGTTTATATCTCCACATCATGGAAACTGATGCTTAGAAAGTTCAGTAACTTTCCTGGTGTCACAAGAAACTGGGATTTGAATTTTAGGTGATCTGATGCAGAGCTTGAGTTCTTAACTATTATGCTATAGTGAGTGCCTCTCATTACTTATGACATATTTTAAAAGCCTTTTCTTGCCCAAGATAGTTTCCTTACCAGTTCTCAACAAGATTTGAAATCCTGCCATCTAAATGTCATGCCTTTATTTTTTGTTAAAAATATGAAATCCTTAGGCTTTACATTATTATCATCAACACCTTAACAACTTAACCTTTCCTCTGACATCTAATTAAAAATGGGAGCCGAGAGGCCCAGGCAGGTGGGGATGCATATCTGGAGCTGGGGCACTGCTTGAAAGAGATGCATTGTTACCTCCCGATTCAGGGTTAGAATTGTTGGAAACAAAAATGAAATGTATGTAAAGAAACTAGCACAGATTTGGGTTCATAAGAGGAATCCATGAGATATACTTATTATTAGTGGAAAATTGGGATGTGTAGGAAAAGTGATCATGGGGCAAGTGGGAGGGCTGAAATAACATTCCTGTGTGCTAGTGTGGGTTCCTCCTTGTCCTCCCAAATGTAATTTCCCAGAACTCTGAAACCCTCTGGTTCCAATTTCCTGAGGTCTTACTGCTTTTATGCAAGAACAGGTTTAAAAATGGGACAGGAAGGCTGGGAAGGAACAAAATGAAAAATACTTTTATTTATCTTGCATCTTTGTCTCCTCAGCTCACAGTACTCCATTGACACCATCTCATTAATTCTCCATGCTCTCTGTGGGGTGGAAGGAAATAGGTTTTATGAAGAGGTTTCCAACCTGGGCTTCTTCCTCCTTTAGCCCAATTGGACTACCAGCTTCTCACTTGTACCCCTTACACATGGGTTGGAATGTCCCCAGTGATCATTTATGCCCCTTAAGCATCCTAGGGAATGGCCAGGTCCTTTCTGTGCCATGCGAGGCTGCTTAGGAATCAATTGGGCCTCAGCTTTTGTACATCTGGGGTGGCCATTTGAGGCCTTATCTCCAGTTCATGTGTGTGTTTTTTCCTTTTTATAAACATATATATTTAAGTTATAAGAGTAATAGATATTAATTTACATATATATATATATATATATATATATATATATATATTGATTTCAGAGAAGAAAGGAGAGGGAGAATGGGATAGAAACATCAATGATGAGAGAGAATCATCAATCGGCTGCCTCCTGCACATCCCATACTGGGGATCGAGCATGTGCCCTTGACCGGAATCAAACCCTGGACCCTTCAGTCCACAGGCCGACACTCCATCCATTGAGCCAAACCAGCCAGGGCATAGATATGAATTTTAAACATCAAACAGTGTATAGTAGCATATCAAGTAAAAAGTAAAAGGCTCTTATTGTCTCTTTTTTCCAACCTCTGTTCCCAATAGGTTTTCTTAATCCCTTGGAGATATTATGGAACTTTGTGGACTTTTTCTGTATGCATGTACAAAAATGCTATATACACGCAACACATACTGTGTTCATTTAACTGTATTGTCTCACTTACATTGGTTCTGCGGCTAACCTCACGAAAGGTCCAAACATGGCTGGGGAGGGGAGGAGGAGCATAGAGGGAGAGAGTACTACCCCAGGCCATTTTCTTTCTGCTTGCTTAGTGCTTAGCTGTATTATTATTTTTTTTTTTATTGTGCTCTGTGTTTTTTTTTTCTGAAGGAGTTTGCGCTGATCAATCCAGAGAAGAGCACCACCAAAGAAACAGAGAGAAAGGAAACCACAGCAGAGAAGGAGCTGGACCCTGAAGTCCTGGAGGTGTTTCACCCGAGCCATGAGTGGCAGGACCTTCCGCCAGGTATCAAGCCCGCCCTGCCCCCATGAAACACTTTAAATTCAAATTGTATATGTTCTTTGTCCCCAGAGCGCTTCTTTGAAGGAGCAGCCACTCTTTGGCCGCTGGAGGGGATAGTGTGGTCCATCCCAGTGGTGGCTGCTGCTGCAGGCCTCAGGGACCTTCATTTTCCAGCAGAACAGATTTCAGCCTCTAAGTGCCCTGGAAGGAAGGCAGGTGGTGGGTGGCCAAGCTTTCTGAGCAAGTGATTGAAAACGTTCTTTCCTTGCACATCTGAAGCACAGGAGAGGCAGTGACATGTGCCTTGCTCTGCAAATGCTATTTTGGGCTCTTCTGCTCGGCTCAGTGCTGCTGAAATATTGTTCACAGGAGAGTCCTGAGCACTGGTGCAGGGCAGGAGTGTTCTTTTGCAAAAGGAACCTGTGCCAAGAACAGGGGCTGATCCTGGCCTGGTTTTTAAATGGGGCATCCTCAGAAAGAACAACTTTCTAACCCTTTTTTGAGCCCAACTCAGGGCTAAAAATAATGAAAGCCCTGGATGGTGTGGCTCAGTTGGTTGGATCTTATCCTGTACAATGAAACGTCATAATTTTGATTCCCTATCAGGGCACAAACCTAGTTTGTAGGTTTGATCCCAGACCTGGTCAGGGCTTATGTGGGAGGCAGCCAATCAATGTTTCTGTCTAAAAATCAATGAAAATGTCCTCAGGTGAGGATAAAAAAAAAAGAAAAAGAAAAAAAAAAGATAATAATAATGATGAAAGTAGCCAGCAATTGTGTTTATAATATTCAGGTACTGTGTTAGATGCTTCATGTGTATAAACTTGTTCAATCTTCACATAATAGGACCTATTATTATCTTTATTTTCCCATAAAAGCATTGAGGCTCAGAAAGGTTAATAATTTGACCTATGTTATTCAGCTAACTTGTCCTATGTCATTGATCCTATAGCCTAGACTAGGGGTGTCGAACTCAATCAGAGAAGGGGCCAAAATCTAAAATCCAGCCTAAATCGCGGGCCGAATGGTTTACTGAACAGTCATAAACTGTCATTGTGATGGAAATGCAGCGGAGTGCAGTGATGACAGCGCGGTGCGGGCCACATTGCAAGGCCTGGCGGGACGGATTTGGCCCGCGGGCCTTGTGTTTGACACATGTGGCCTAGACCTACCTTCTTCCCACTTGTCCTAGTCCCAACTGTCCTTGTCCCACTGTGATGACACTTGGGCCTGTTCTTAGGAATAGGTGTTTGCATTCTGCACTGTGACAAGGTAGATGGTAAGCCCTGGCAGCTACCACAGTATAGTTGCATCATTCCTTGCCGATATTCATCACCATATCCTCCTTGCCTCCATTGCTGCTGTGCTGGCAAGGACAGCATTTGCTGTGCCAGCCAACTTTCTGGTGATAATATCACTCCTGCTGGGCTTGCATAGGGGTAGGTGTTGCCACAGAAGAATGATGAAGCACCAAGAAAGCCAAGTAGGAACTAATGGTGTTAGTAGAGGAAATTTCAAGAACAGAGGTACTGGGTTCAGCAGACCTAACCTCTGCTTGCCCTCACCTAGCTTGTTTGAGAACTGAGCCCCTTGGTCCTTGAAGACTAAAACTAGAGGAGTTTTCAGGGCTAGGGAGTAGAAGATGTGGGCTGTATCTACTTGTTTTATGTGGTTAAAAGTGCTTGTACCACTCCAACTAGGCAAGTGTCTGGAGCTGATGGAGATCAATATCCTGTGGCTCCCACTCCTGCCCTCTCTAATTTTGTGGCACCCTTCAAGGCCCTGGTCTGCATTGCAGAACAAGCCTGAAAGTTCTAACCCAGAGCCCTTGCCCAGCCTTCTGGCCAGTGATGCTACTGTTAATGGCTAAACAAAGAGCCCCTCTGTAGCCTTGGGGATGGAGAACCAGAGCATGTATGACAAGCGCAGGCTGAGGGCTCTGAGTGCTTCCTGGAGAATTAGAGTGGAGCATTGATTTTTACATCTAACTTGATACCCCATTGACATCTCTCTTTGTTTTCTAGTTTCTCAAGAGCCCTTCATAAATTATTCTGCCCCAAATTCCCTAGAAGCTGTCTTAAAGGCCGGTGTGTTTTGTTGAACATAGACACTTAGGAACTACAACCCAGGGGACAAAGCAACTCTGGTTTCAGTAGTGTCTGCCCAATCTTAAGAGTGTTATTCTGAGTCTGGTGCTGGAAAGTCTGTCCAGTGGAGATAGATAAATTCTCTTAGGCTCTGATATAGGATTGAGGTGTTCTGTGTGTATATTGAGAAGGTTTTGCAGTTATATCTGTTGGTAGGAAATTTACTTCTTAGTGGTCTGTGTGGATAGCTAGCATTTGCCTTCAATCAGAGTATAATATTTAATTCACCTTTTCTGAATGGTGCCTGGGAGCTTCCAACACAGCTACCTAAATGTTAAAGGAATATAGTCAGTCCTGGAAGCTTGTTTAATGTGTGAATCTTGGGGAGATAGCATAATTTAGTAGTTAAGAGGACTGACTTTAGATTCATCTTGTTCTGGGTTCAAATCCTTTTGCCCTTTAGTTTCCCCATTGATGACATCGGGGAAATGTCCTGCTATATCTGCTGCAAAGGTTGTTGTGAGGGTTCTTGACATGAAGACATCACTCAGTCCATAGCAGTTCTTATTTTATTTTTTTGAAGTGCTGATTTTTTAAAAACTTTTCACTGTGCTGTATTTTAAAAAGATCTTTATTGTTCAGATTATTACAGATGTCTCCCCACCTCATTGCTCCTCTTCACCTGGTTCCCACCCCATCCAAGGCCCTTGCCACCCCACTGTTCACATCCATAGGTACTGCATATATGCATATAAGATCTTTGTGCAATCTCTTCCTGCACCCCTCCCAGAATTTTGTCTGCTCCATTTCCATGCCCCAGATTCTATTATATTCACCATTTTATTCTGTTCATCAGATTTTTTACTCATTTGATTTTTAGATTCACTTGTTGATAGATATGTATTTGTTGTCACACTGTTGTTCATAATTTTTATCTTTACCTTTTTCTTCCTCTTCTTAAAGAATATGCTTCAGCATTTCATACAATGCTGAAAGGTTTGGTTTGATGAACTCCTTTAGCTTTTTCTTGTCTGTGAAGCTCTTTATCTGACCTTCAATTCTAAATGATAGCTTTGCTGGGTAGAGTAATCTTGGTTGTACTTGTAGGTTCTTGCTGTTCATCATTCTAAATATTTATTGCCGCTGTCTTCTGGCCTGCATAGTTTCTGTTGAGAAATCAGCTGATAGTCGTATGGGTACTCCCTTGTAGGTAATTAACTCTTTCTCTTGCTGCTTTTAATATTCTCTCTTTTGCCCTTGGCATTTTAATTATGATTTGTCTTGGTGTGATCCTCTTTGTATTCCTCTTGTTTGGGGTTCTCTCCGCTCCCTGGACTTGTAAGTCTATTTCTTTCACCAGGTAGGGGAAGTTTTCTGTCACTGTTTCTTCAAATAGGTTTTTAATATCTTGCTCTCTCTCTCTTTCTGGCACCCACATAATTCTGATGTTGGTACGCTTGAAGAGGCTCCTTACACTATTTTCATATTTTTTGATTTCTTTTTTTCTTTTTTTCTTTTCCAGTTGGGTGTTGTTTGCTTCTTTGTATTTCAAATCTTTAACTTGATTCTTGGGATCCTCTAGTCTGCTATTGGATCTCTGTATATTATTCTTTAGTTCAGTGTATGCTAACTAGTAATTTCTGACTGGTCCTTTTTCACTTTTTTGGCATTCTCACTAAGATCCTTAAAGATCTCACTAAGTTCCTTGGAGGTTTCTAGAAGATTCTTGAGCAACCTTATAACTGTGGTTTTGAACACTATATCCAGTAGTTTGCTTTCTTTCATTTCTTTCATTTGTGACAAGTTTCTTTGTCTCTGCATTTTGGGTGCTTCTCTGTGTTTGTTTCTATGTATTGGGTAGCTGCTAAGTCTCCTTGAGTTGATAAGAGGGGCCTTGTGTACCTAGTGTCTCAGCCTCCCCAGTCACCTGAGGTGGACACTCTTGGTGCACCCCTTTGTGGGCTGTGTGCACAGTCTTGTTGTAGTTGAGCCTTGATTGCTGTTGGTATCACTGGGAGGAATTGACCTCCAGGACAATTGGCTGTAAGAACCAGCTATCTTTACAATGGAAGAGCTGCTGTACAAGAAACACCTTTTTGGGGTAGGACTTGCTTCAATGGGGCTTTGATGCTCACTGAGTCTGCCCCTTGAGTGTGTCACTTATGGATGTGAAGAGTTGTAATCTGGTATGGTCTCACACTGACCACTGAGTACACTGGCTCTTGTTTATCCAAGGAGGTGCAAAATCAGCCACTGCCTGAGGCCACCCAGCATGAGCTACAGAGAGATCTGCAGATTCCTCCCCTTTGTATTGGGTTTGGAAGTGACCAGACAAGGCTCATCTGTGAAGCAAGGCAGACTGGTACTGGTGGGGCCTTGGGCCTTCTTTTGATAGCTTTTGGGGCTCTCTGACCCAGCTGCAGCTTGTTTGACAGATTTTAGGCTGAGAAAAAACAGGCCATTCATATGCAAAAGCTGCTGAGTAAGGCTTGAGTGGGATTGTAAATTGGGTAGGGCAGGGTCTCAGGAAATCTCCAGGGAGGAGCAAACAGCAATGGCTTCCAGCCAGCCCTATACCAGGGAGGTGTCAGTACAGAAACAATGACCTTTGTGAGCACCTCAGTCTGAAAGAAAGCCACCCCTGAGTTCCTGCCTTGATGCCAGACAGTCTAGTTTCTCCCAGTATAGGTCTGGGTCCCCTCCACCCCCCCGTCTCGCCCAGCATTGGAGCTCAGAGCAAGTGGAAGCTTGTATCTTGCTCCCAATTAAAAAAGCGGCACACCTGGGTGCTAGCCCCTTCCGTGCCTCCACACCCGCCTTCTTTACCTCTCTAGTTTTAGTACTTCCATTCAGCTAGCTTTCTCCACCCTTTGGATGATAACTGTTATGTATTTTAGTTGTAATTTTGATGTGGTTGTGGATGAACGAATGAGAGGCTGAAAAACCAGGACTGCAGGCTTTATTAGAGGAGAAGGACCCTGCCAGGTTGTTTCACAAGGGGAGAACAGCAACACGTGCATAGGGGAACATACCTTTTAAGGAGAGGACTGGGAAGGGATGGGGTTTAGGGTACTCAGCACGCACTGATTGGTGGCTTCATATAAGACACATGATTAGGCACTTAGGTACTTAGGAATCAAGGGCTTAGGGTATTTGGCAGGTGCTGATTGGTGGTTCAATGTACAGTCCATATAAGGTGCCTGGTTAGGTGCTCAGGAATTTCCAGGCTGCAGGTGCAGGCTACGTCATACTCTGTCCACCAGTTGGGGGAAGGGAGTATCTATCACTGGAAGGCAGCAAGTGCAGGTGTTTACCTATGCTGCCATCTTGGTTTTCTGAAGTGCTGATTTTAAATAGTAATTTTCCCACTAGTGCCACCCCTTCAAGTTGATTGTTTTATTGGATGCCAGTAATGGGACATGAGTATGTGCCTTAGATGGGGAAGGGAACTTCTGGTGAGGAGAGACTTCCCTCAAATGCTCTCCCTCTCTCCCTGTACAGAGATTTAAAAAATAATATATATTTTTATTGATTTCAGAGAGGAAGGAAGAGGGAGAGAGAGATAGAAACATCATGATAAGAGAGGATCATTGATCAGCTGCCTCCTGCATGCCCCCCCCCCCCCCCCCCCCGGGGGACTGAGACCGCAACCTGGGCATCAAACCCTGGACCCTGTACTTGACCTGTCAGTGTTCCATCTACCAAGCCAAACCAGCTAAGGCTCTACAGAGGATTTTGATGAGGGAACAGAAGGGTTTAGCATAGGATTTCCTGCCATAGTCAGAGACATGGCATAAGAAGATGGTGGTGTGTTTTTTGGGCATTTTTAAGAGAATGGCAAAGGAGCTATTTTATGTTTACCTTAGTTCAGTACATTCTGTCTCTGTTGTCCCCAGGCCTGCAAGGAGGAGATACTAGGGTACATGGTCTGTGCTCATTTGAAGGCAGATTTATAGTTATGAGTTGGAATACCAGGGGACCACCTATGACTTCATGGGTCTTCCCACCAGACCAGGTGAGAATTGGGCCCCAGCCACTCAGCTCTGGGGCAGCTGCAGGTTACTTTCCTGAAGTATGCTTGCTTCTGTTATTACTGTCAGCATCCTCACTGTGAGCCACTTGTTCCTGGAAATGATTTTCTTTTCTTTCTCTCTCTGTGTTTTCTGCTTTATTTTGGGATCTGTCTCACCTTATGGGAGCACAGCAAGCATTTGAATGTAGATTCAGCATCAACTGTTCACAAGCAAGCAGAGGAAAGCTGTTTGCTGGCAAGTCCTGTGGGTTCTGGGCATGGAACTCAGGAATTTGTCCTGGGGCTGAGGACCCCTAAAACCTAGGATTTTGTGTCTATGTACTTGTTATTATGAAAGCTAGTCACAGCCATAAATAGCGGGGCTTGTGCTTCTTGGGTATTTTCTGAGATCCTGTTTTGTGCCAGGCACTGTTCTGGTAGCTGGAAATATAGATAATAGATCACATTTACTAAGCATCAACTGTGCCAGGCATTCTTTGAGGGCAGGTGCTATAACCACCCTTCTTTTTATAGACAAAACTGAATTTCAGGGAGGAGAACTGACTTAGCCAAATGACCAATAAATGGTAGAGTCAGAATTCAAACCTACCTTTGTCTGACTCTAAGCTTGGGCTCCTAGCCACTGTGCCATCTGTTTCTTTGGATAGCAAATGGGACATGCCCCTGCCTTCCAGCAGCTCATAGTCTCATAGAGAATACAGAGACAGAAAAAGGCACCAAAGTGTTTTTGGATGTTTTGGTAGAAGTGTCTCAGTAAGGGCACAAGAGAGGGAGAGGTAAGGGCCTTCAATCTCTGCCCTTGAGATCTTCCTGGAGAAGTGAGTAAAATTTTAGTGAGATAAACTTCCACCACCATCTTTAGTTTTCTATTTGAGCTGTGTGGACTTGTTCAAGTTGATTGTAATCTTTGAACCTTAGTTTCTTCATCTGAAAATAGGGATGAAAATAACCTCCTTTACAAAGATGACGTAAGACTGAAACAACATTAACATGTGTAAAATGTTTTACACAGGGCCTGGCACATAGGAAATATTCAAGAACTGGTTATAGTTGTCATTTGAAAAAAGTATACCTTTGCTGGCTCCCTTTCCTTGAGGACCTGAAGGAGAAGTGGAGGTGACAAGGCAGCCTGGGCAAAGGGCTTCCTTGTCTTGCTCAGGGAAGCTCAAATCTAGGGTTCCTTATTGACCTGAGCTGACTTCTAGGAGGCTGTGAGAACCTCTGAAATATTAGCATTAAAACAAAGAGCTCTTTTGATGGGAGTATACAGGAAGTCTGTGCAAGAACACGTTCATGTGAGGGGTTAAAAAAAAAAAAGGAAAAAAATCCAAATCATCAACTGATGAGAGCAGTTCAAGAATTATAGAGCACCAGCCATCTGGTCAGATCATTTCAGATCTGCATGAGCAATGGGAGGGAATTGAATTGTAAAAACCTCATTTATAGTAGACCAACTATTCTGTTTCAAGTGTTTAAGAGAGGAGTCTGATTTCCTGAAGGCCCTAGACATCTGTCTGAAGGAGCACTTGTCTCTGTGAAGCCTTTGGTTCCTTGCAGCTTGGATGTGGACTATGTGATTTTCTAATCCTCCAAAACCAACTGAATGTTCAACAGTTCTCTTCACTTCTGATACTATCTACCTGAACTTAGTATCAGATCCCACAGTTTAATGGCTTAGTGCCTCACCTCTACTTCAGATGTGTCAAAAGTTCCAGCCACTTGAACTTTTTTGATTATCTATAAATTAAGGATTACCATGACCCCCTTCTCAGGTTTGACAATTTGATAGAACAGCTTGAAGAACTCAGGGAAAACTCTTTACTGGTTTATTGTAAAGGGTACAACTCAGGAACAGCCAAATGGAAGAGATGTATAGGGCAAGATATGGGGAAAGAGGTTCATAGCTTCCATGCCCACTCTGGGCACACCACTCTCCCACCACTTCAGTGTGTTCACCATCCCAAAAGCTCTCTGACCTTATTGTTTAGAAACTTTTATGGAAGTTTCAATATATAGGCATGATTGATTAAACCATTGGCCATTGGTGATTGAACTTAATCTCCAGCCCCCTCTTGCCTCCCTGGAGGTAAAGGGATGGGCTAAAAGTTCCAGTCTTTTAATCATAAGTTGGTCTTTCTGGTGATAAGCTCCCACCCTAAAATTACCTAAAGGCCCTTCACCAAGAGTCATCTCATTGGCATAAACTTGGGAAGTAAAAAAGATATCATTCAGGAAATTCCAAGGATTTTACAAACTCTGTGCCAGAAACCAGGGATGAAGACCAGATATACTTTTTATTGTACCACAGGCTGCAATTGAGGTAGTACTAAGGGGCAAAGCTCCTAGTGCTGTGTATTCCCTCCCTGCTCTGTGGTTGGGAGAGAGGTGACCTTCTTTTTCTCTCCTAGTCTGGAGGGATCTTCTTTATGTGTCATTTCATTCCCAGGATGGTCTACAAGAGTATGACCTGCTTTTGTCCTTCACAGGCACACCCCCTCCCCAAGGCCCATGGGCAGTGGTGTTCATACCTAAGCTCCTGCGCTCATTCAGAATGGTACAATGGGACTTCTTGGCTGACACCAGGAGGTAATCACCTGAGGGAAAGGTATAAGATGGAGCCTCTGTTGAATGAATTTTCACCCTGGCTCAAGTGCAGTGCTGGAAAAGTAGAGCAGAAGCTGGATAGAGGAAACAGCATGGTTTTTTTTTTGTTTTTGTTTTTGTTTTGTGTTTGTGTGCTGTGGGGTAGTTTGTTTCCTCTCTTGAACACAAATTGTTGTCTTCAGTTTTTTAGAATGAGGTGTTTAACAGAGCTTATCATTGGTGCCTCTTTTCTTCTGCACAATGCTTTCTTTCCCACCTTTGAAGCCTTTCAAGTCTCTGGGGATTCCCTAATAACTTCATTTGTTCCTCTCCTCTTAATCTTCTGGCCCATTTCCCCCATTATTGCCACCTCCCCAGCTTTCATTCATAATTCTCCTCTCTGAGCATCTCCTTTGCTCCTTGGTAATATGAGTTAGTCAGGGGGAACTCTCTAGGGCATAGCAGGATGCCAGACCTCTTCAGGCCTGTAGGAGCAATTTCTGAGGCTTCAATACCCTGTTCTGGGAGACAAAAGGATGGAATGTATGAAGGTACCAGGAGGCTCCACGAGGACAGTTCAGATCTTTTCATTTCAGAGAGATCTCATTTCCCATATGTGGAGTTCTCTCAGATGGCTGACCACTGTTTTATAGCAGTCAGATCCCATACCCCTCTGGGGGAATAGGTGGAGGCCAAGACAGAAAGGCCTGTGACCTCATGGCACTCATTGCCAAGGCTGAGACCACTTTGAGTTGGCTTAGCTCTGCACTGGCACCTGAGCATCTGTGCCTGGGGTTTGGCCTTCATTACAAGGATGGAGCAGGCCAGGGTCCAGATGCAATCTGTGGGCTTGAGTGATAAGGGAGAGCAGCTTAGGCCGTCTGCTTTCTAATAAGTATTTGTATGTTTAATCCTCTCCCTGAGCCCCTATCTTCTTCTTCCTCTGCTTCCTCTATCCACCTGTTCTCTCTGAGGTTTAATAAAGAGGGTTTAGCAGAGTTGCATAGCCTCAGCTCTCAAAGATTGGATGCCCGAACTGGCTGAAATGAAAAACAGTCTGGAGTAGGGATAATGGAAAACCAGCTACCAAAACCAGTTCGAACCTTCATGCCTAGGGCTTGGTTTTAGTTCAGACAATTTGTATAGCTCTGACTTCCCTTCTTTCTCTAATATTGGTTAAGACATCCTGCTGGCTAAGATTGTCTAAGCTATCTCCAAGGATGGGACTAACCAGGGCTGAGAAAAGCTCTCAGTGGCTGGCCTGGAGCTAGAATGAGAGGCCCTTTTCTAGAACCTGTTCCATTCTTAGTTTTGTCACAACACGAGGTAGAAACTAACCAGTAACTTCTGAGGAAATAATATTTGAGTAGGTAGAGAATAGGACAGGAAGGAAACATGAGTGGAGGGGGAATGACATGAATAGAGACATAAAAGTAAGAGTATATCTACTTGGCTAGAGAGGCAGGGATCTGTAGGGGAATAATAGAATGGTGGTAATGGGAATGCAATGCCCAAGGTCACAGAGGGCATGATACCTCAATAGCCACTGACTAATCTTCTAGGCAGGTTTGAAAAGAACCTGAGTGAATCAGTTTATGTGCAGGGGGCTCTTTTGCAAGCCTTTTGTTGCTTGTGCTCTCATCCAGCTGATTATATTTCTGTTCATGTTAGGGTTTTGTTAATGTTCATAAACTAATAGGTTGTTGATCTTGCCTTATTTCCTGTATCATGTTGATTTGGGCAAACAAAGATTGAGTTGTATTTTAATTTCTTTTATTCCAGAATTGTGTTTCTGTTCTGGATAATGCAGTTGTTTAGAAAGAGAGAACCATTTCTTTGGATTACAGTTTTCAGTTTTATCTCTCTAAGAACCAGTTATCTGTGGTGGAGGTACATTTTTATTGAGTGGTATTATGGTGTATTTGTACATTTTTCTTTTTGCCTAGGAAAAAAGAAAACTTTCTGTCTCCCACTCCAGAAGCCCCCTAAAAGTTGCACAAACATCATCTTGTTTTTTGTTTGTTTGTTTGTTTTTAAAAATATTTTATTGATATTTCACAGAGAGGAGGAAGGGAGAGAGATAGAGAGCCAGAAACATCGATGATAGAGAAACATCGACCAGCTGCCTCTTGCACACCCCCTACTGGGGATGCGCCCGCAACCAATGTACATGCCCTTGACCGGAATCAAACCTGGGACCTTTCAGTCTGCAGACCGACGCTCTACCACTGAGCCAAACCGGCTTTGGCTCATCTTGGTTTTGCCAAGTTAGGCTTTTGGACAAAGGTTGAAGAGACTGTCTATTATCTCATGGCCAAGAATGTCCAAGGCAGCCAGGAACTATTGTCTAAATGTGGGAGAAGGGAGGAAAACTAACATTTTTTGGAGAAAGCACCTTGTGCTTGGTGCTTTGTGTACATTATTTAAGGGGACTTCGAAGTGTTCCATAAAGGTCTCTTGGAGCTCATGGTTGGTCAGTGAAGGGGGGCCTCAAATCCCATTGCCTTTTCTAGGATTTCCTTTCATCTGATGATAGAAACTACAGGCTCATGATTGAAAGTAGTGTTATTTGAGGTCTAGGTGGGAACAAAATAATTTTGGGGGAAATTATTCAAGAGGATGCAGAATTATTCAAGCTGCCCTATCTTCATTTCTTAGATTAGATCTCGGGGATCTGAAGGATAGATTCAGGTTTCCCTAAACACCGTGGAGTAAGTAGTCCTGTGTACAGAGTAATTTGAGGGCTATATACTGGCTTTAGATTCCCACTGGGTTAGACTGCACATAGGGAGGTTGAAGGAGTTAAAATCCCATTAGCATTTTAACCTCCAGTATTTGATCAAAATGGCTAGCTGAGGATACCTTTGAGTCAGGTATAAATGGTAGATTTCAAAAGGAAGCAGCTTTTTCTTACAAAAAGCTGGTAGTAATAGGGGTAGCCAGATTAAATATTTGATTTAAAGGAGCCCATCTTAGTGATGGGATTGGTGTATACTTGGTGGGGGTATGTAGGTATGTGTGAAGGGAAATTGGAAAAAGAAAGAGAAGACAAATCAAAGGAAGGCTGAGTCTTTTCACCTATTTGCTGGCATCATCTAACTGCTTATGTATGTCAGTGAAAGTCTTGGTTCTGTAGTGACAGTTTGAACTGAATGTTTGTTCTCTCTCACTCTCTGTTTTTCTCTCTCATTTTTATTCTTTCACCTCTTCTCCCTTGCTGCCTCCCTTGCCCTCTTGTCTTCTTTCTTTCTTTGCTGTTATGGCCTTTACCTGCGGCTGAGTGGCAGGTTGCAGATATGGATAGACATGGAGGTGTATAGCTGCTGGAATATTTTCTCAATTCTGCCAACATCAAAGAAATTGCTTCCAAGCCAATTCTTTCAGCCACATATTTTGCTGATCAGTTAGAATGTGAGGAAAAACACATTAGCATTGCCAGAGAAAGGATTTGGGAAAAATCACGTATGTGGAACTGAGTGATCTAAAGTCATAAGCATAAAAAACAAATCCTGGAGTGCAGCTGGAGTTCTTCCTGTCCTGTTTTCCACATCCCTGTCCCTTGACACACACACCCTGTGCTATGTGAATGAGATATCTATCAACTTTGCCAAAGATCCTAATGCTGAAGTGGAGGTACCAGCTTGTCTTGCCTATCACTGTATGCTTCTAGGCATGACATGAAAAAGAAGCAACCTCAGAAGGGTGCATTTAAAAAAATATTTTTAATTTATTTCAGATAGAGGAAGGGAGAGGGAGAGAGAGAGAGAAAGAAACATCAGTGATGAGAGAGAATCATTGATCAGCTGCTTCCTGCACGCCCCCTACTGGGGACTGAGCCCACAATCTGGGCATGTGCCCTAACCATTGCAACCTCCTGGTACACAGGACTGCACTTAACAAGCTGAGCCACACCTGCTGGGCTACTATTCTTTCCACTCCTCTCCATCCCCACATTTTCCTCCCCCTTTCCTCCCCTCTTCTTTTTTCTTTCTTTCTTTTTTTCCTATTACCACAATGTCTCAATATACTAGTAGTTCCCTTGGAAGAGAGTTCTCTTGAGTTGAGCACAACTATATGGATATATATCCCATCTGCCTGGTACTAGTCAGGAGAGAGGTCTCAGGAGAACAATGACCTCATCTTTGTCCTTAGCACAGGAAGGCATTTCTTGTCAAGAGAAATAAATTGATGGTTATATAGTAGAACTTAGAAATTAAAGGATTAGTTTGTTTCCTTTGAAAAAAGATAAAATTCTAGAATACCCTTTCTTTAAAGAAGCATGTCTTTTGGAGAGGGGATTGATGGAGGGTAGAATCCAGGCTATATTTTGGCATCTAGGTGTTGTCACAGTTACTTGAAAATATAGACAGTAGAGTGTTGTAGAGTCAGTCTAACTGGGTTCACACCTCAGCTCTGCCTTTTATAGGTGGGTAGTCTTGGGCAAGTTATTTAATTCCACTAAGGTTTAATGATATACCCTATAATAATATCATCTGTAAAATAGGGATAGTAATGATAACTACCTCAGAGAGTCATCTTAAGTAGTAAATAAGGCAAGCATATGAATTATTTACTCTAGTGCCAGGTGCATAATTATAGCTCAATAAATGTTAGCTTCTGTTGAAATAAAAATGAGTGGATATCAGACAAACCTAAATTGAGGTATATAAAAAATAATTGACCAGTACTCTTCAATTATGTCCAAGTCAAGAAAAATGGACTGAAGAGCTATCACAGATTGGAGGAGACTAAGGTGATGTGACAACTATGTGCAGTGTGGTATCCTAGGTTAGATTCTGGAACTGAAAAAAAGAATACTAAAAGAAAAACTGGTAAAATCTGAATAAAGTATTTAGTTTAGTTACCACTGTTAATTTGTTAGTTTTAATAATTGTTTTATGGTTAGATGTTAATATCATTAGATGTTAATATCAGGGAAAGCTGGGTGAAAGGTATATAGGAATTCTGGAGTTTTTTTTCATCTTTTCTCTAAGTCCAAAATT